GCACAGTTTCGTCACTTCATGTTTTAACAACACATGACGAGCTGAGGCACGAATATTGACTTCAAATGGAAATGGATAAGAGAACCCCAATGTATATTTTTTTATTCAGAAAACTATTGTTGAATATCAGATACGGTTAGAAAGGAAATGAGAGCGTAGATATAGAGACACATGTACACCTTCTATATAGTTCTGTCGTATGTTGAGAATCTATATAGTTCTGTCGTATGTTGAGAATCTATATAGTTCTGTCGTATCTCGAGAATGCAGGTGATTCTGTAATACATCAAGATATATTATATATTGGTAGTTCTGTCATATGTTGAGAATCTATATAGTTCTGTCGTATCTCGAGAATGCAGGTAATTCTGTTATACATCAAGATATATTATATACTGGTAGTTCTGTGACATGTCGAAAATCTACATAGTTTTGTCAGGGATGAAAAATCTTCATAGTTCTGACATATGTCGAGAAGGCTGTATAGTTCTGTCAGGGGTAAAGAATCTTCATAGTTCTGGCACATGTCGAGAAGGCTATATAGTTCTGTCAGGGGTAAAGAATCTTCATAGTTCTGGCACATGTCGAGAAGGCTATATAGTTCTGTTAGGGGTAAATAATCTTCATAGTTCTGACACATGTCGAGAAGTCTATATAGTTCTGTCAGGAGTAAAGAATCTTCTGTCACATGTCGAGAAGGCTATATAGTTCTGTCAGGGGTAGATAAACATATTTCTGACACATGTCGATAAGGCTATATAGTTCTGTCAGGAGTAAAGAATCTTCTGACACATGTCGAGAAAGCTATATAGTTCTGTTACGTGTGACGAATATAACGACAAAAACTAAGTTCGAGCGAGATGAGTGTCCCCAAGCGGCCGCTAGACAGCAGGTGTCAACATTATTTCAGAACAGCCTATCTCGTCATCTAGACGTCATGCATACATTTGTCAGACCCTCTTGGTTTCTGTCTGGAATAATCTCTACTCTAATTGCCGTATTATGCCTCTATCTATCAGCACCATCACACAGAGTCACGACAAATAGGTACAATGTATAACGCGCGCGGGGGGCTCGTAGGGAGTCTAACAGAAGGGGGGATCGTATCGCTACCTGTAAAACCAGTTACATACCATGTCTTCTTGTAGGCTTAGCCCCGGGACAGAATATCAATGAAGTAAAACTAACAAACGTATATCGTATTTTATCTTGAGAATCGCATGTTGGCAGGGGTCTGACCGAGTTTAGCTGTGTGCTCGTTAAAGCGACAAATATGTCTCAGCCCAAAGAGTTCATTGTACTGTTGTATGAGTGTGTGTTTATGAATCCCTATAAAAAGTAATACCAGCTGAAATGCATTGAGTGTTAACTTTTTATTTTCACCAAAACATAAAAATTCGGTTGATTCTCAATTACAGTAATTTTCATTGTTGACAATTAAAGGGACTAAACTCACTCACTGTTAAAGGGATGTTTGCGTGACTGTGTTGTCTAGGAGGAAGCAAATCTTTCACGGTGATCTGTTAATGTTCGAGTCTAGGCCATAATCAAGTGGTTAACATCATGAGCATCGATGCACTTCATGGTGAAATGACACGCATTTACACAAGTCACTCCCGGTCACTTAATCGTATGTGTAAAAATTATTCTTTTTATAAAATGCCAAGCCTGAATATGCATATACTTCATCGATGACTCAGGTGTACATTGATCAAACATACATTCCGATACATACCGTGTCTCACAGTCTAGACTGATACCTGTATGCAGTTACGTATTTGCCTATTTTGGAGGTGAGGATTTACTGCAAATATGGAGCCACTCCTCCTCCTCTAACTAGACCTTCCACATTCCTAGTTTTCGAGACAGCCATGTCAGTTTCGTGGTATTCATCCCACGTACTACGTAGGCACTCCGCAGTCGAACAAATATAGCACCTGGTTGGTTTATGGGATCAGCACACTCCAGCAAACATCCCCGTTCCTCCGATAATAAGACCATAACGCGTACCTATTTTAGAACACCTGTCATCACTAATTTTCAGTTATCCATTCTTACAAGTTTCATAATATACTGATGTGCAAAAGAAAGTACACACTTGGTGCTTTGAGACTATCAAAACAACGTAAATATTTTGCTAGCAATGTTCCAATTGGGTACGATATCTATGGTGTTATTGCAACACGTACACAATGTTTGTGACTTGTGACTGACTGACTGAGTTTGGTTTTACGCCGCTTTTAGCAATATTCCAGCAACATCACGGCGGGGGACACCAGAAATGGGCTTCAAACATTGTACCCATGTGGGGATTCGAACCCGGGTCTTCGGCGTGACGAGCCAACGCTTAACCACTAGGCTACCCCACCGCCCCTTGTGACTTGTGAGTCGGAATCAAAACACTTTTCTAAATATTACGCTGTTTTCAGGAAAACATTTTACCAACGCATCAGGTGTGTACTTTCTTTTGAACGTCAGTTTACTTTGTTTTGCATGCCCAGTGAAATCTGATTCGGAAGATCGTCCAGGCAGATTATCATCTTGTTTTGATGTTTTATGCTTATGTTCACATATACAAATCGTTTACATAATATCACACGGTATAACCTCTGACTGTTACGAATGTCTTCCATGCATACATCTCAGAACGAATACGTGGTTAAAGTCAGTCGTCACTTTTTTAACGTAACCCACAGGTTTAAGTCACAGGTTGGTGTTTTGGCTTCGGTTAGAGGCTGCTAGAAGTTTTTACACATATCGATGTGAATGCAAATTTATGCACTTTGCCCTGTTATTACCCCTATTATTAGTTTGAATATTGCTGAGTGCGACGTAAAACTAAACTCACTCACTATTATTTTGCATGTTGAACACCCTCCAACACACTTATCTGCCATAATGTTGCGTATAACCCATCTCAGTGAATACAGTTTTACGCCGCTATGGCAATATTCTAGCAATATCACGGCGGGGAAAAATGGGCTGTACAAATTGTACCCACATTGGGAGTCGAACTCAGGTAGTTGTCGTGACGTGCGAACGCATTAACCGCTGTGCTTCCCCATCCATTTAGTTTGAATGCAACTACAAAAAGATATGAAGGGAGTATCTTTGTTTGCAGTTATAACTAGTTCCATTATCGCAGAAAAACGCCTTTAACCTTTCATGCACAGGGTTTCAAATACTAGACTGTCGCTTATACGTGGAGAAAACATTCCGCTGTTTGAGTGTATATACATGTATATCTATTCATAAATCTACGTGCAATATCATCGGGGTTTAAACGGATCTTCATTGAGTGGATTGATGACATGCATATTGCTCGTATGAATCAAATATTTGAATAAACTTGCGTATTTTTCCACTCGAAATTCCGCGCATATTTAATCAGCCAAGCGGAACTGTACTGTCAATACAGTCAATGTAGAATCTAACGTAACGCGGAACAAAATGCGTGTAATCGCATGACCTACATATTCAACATTTATATTCAACATTTATATTCAACAATGAGTGTCAGTCGATGTAGTAAACCATGAGGTGAGACTCACCAAAGTTATTAGTATATGTTTTGGGAAATATGATTATGGGAATCGAACCCGGGTCTTCGGCGTGACGAGCGAACGCTTTAACCACCCCACCACCCCTATAAACATTCCTGGACCACACTATCCAGTGATTAGTAGCACGAGCAATAGGAGTACGAATCTACACTGACAGTCAAGTCAAGTCTGAACCCGATCCACAGAACAATCACAATGAGTTTTATAAACACAATCTGTAAAATGTATAGCATATGCAGCTGAGACATGAAAAGGCAAAAATGTAATAATGTTTTGCTCAACATGAACGGGAAATTATCGCTAAGGATATCAAATCATCTCTTTTGTCATTCACTTTGATACATTGGTCGCCATTATTTTGAACCACTGTGGATTTAGTTTCTTTGTTTGCTGTTAAACATCGCATTCAACAATTGTCAGCTATAAGAGGACGGTGTTGTAAGTAATCGAGCGTGGACCAGACAATCTAGTGATTAACATCATGAGCATCGATCTACGCAATTGGATAATATTACAGAACCTCTTAGGAAGTCCCGACAGACTGGACACCAATCTTGTATTTATTTCCATCAATAATTGATTTATGAAGAAAACATATGCACGCATGTCCCTTAATTCTCACAAAATTCATTCATTCTGAATATTGCAACAAAAACACACTATGGAATAAGTCACCTGGACTAAATACACATGCTTGACCGCCCAATGACCATTATGCAGAGCTGTATAAACACCAACCGTTGTCCACTACATATCCCACAGATATTATCATCAGAGAAATAGTATATGTGCGATTAACTTTATGATAATGGTATACGAGAATGTACACAGGGCTAACCGCGTGTATCCCACATCGACTGGCCCTTGTGACCACGGCGAGAGGCGATAAGCTATGAAGGGGTACGCAGCTCGAGTCACTGCCCGGCAGTCAAGCTTGTACGCCTGCAGTAGCTAGCGATCAAATTACACGTTTACAGTCTGTTCTGATGACAACAAATTCCTCTTTATTTATGTGTACTTGGCACGGCATTCCTAGATATTTAAACTGTGAATACACGAGTGACTATTCCCATGGTCTGATTAATGCAGAGCCAGTTTAATCATATGTTAAGAACCAACGATCACAATGCTCCACGCTCGTTCAACATACTTAACCCCTATTGTACCATCGTAATGCCCTACTAAATGTTCAGGAACCAGAATTATATTAATTGTCATTACGCTGAACTCATCCGTAAGATTTTAATCTTACTTTCATATATATTAATATTAAAGATAACATTCTCAACGATGTCAATATATTACTATGGGGGTGTTTGACTTTCATAATGTAAACATAGAGTAAGTATGTAATGTAAACATTATGAACTGCAGCACGTGTTGACCCTTAACCCCTCCTCTTTCAATCACCGATTGACAAATGCATTATTTTCTCACCTTGAGCGTCCAATATCCAATCTACGTCCAGGTAACACCACAGGTAAGTCTCAGTACATTCTGCTAACTATCCACTGAAGAGGCAGAATGCCTTTCCTTTTCCCCGAGACTAAATCCAGGTAGAAATGTAACTAAATCTCAGGTGCGCCAGGTAAAATCCAATCAACGATGCGTCCGCGCTCAGCATAAACCTGAGGTATTAGAGTGAGAGACGAAAACAGGCTACCATATAGAGACAGGTAGATGTGTGGTCACGTGACACGTGACGGCCATATAAGACAGGTCTTGTTTGACAAGCTACACCTGTAGAACAGCCTTTACCTGTGTATAGTGATACGAGAAACATTTGTGTATAGGCTCTTTCTGAAGTCTCGTGATAGACGTGACAAGTTATTGGACGTGCATGCAGCTGGAAATATGCCTCATTTGATCTTAACACGAAATTAATCTTAATCAGCAATGACTCAGGGATCAATTTATTTCACAAGAGTAGATAATCTGCTTTATGTAAAGTTCTAACGCGTTTGGATAGGGTGGTATGATATGTTTCCAGTCGTATTCTGATGGTTATCAGTTGCTATAGCATAGACAATAAGATAAATAAATATGTAACAGTTGATAATTGAATGATTATTACAGGTTATTGATTGGAGAGAGAGAGACAGACAGAGAGAGAGAGAGTATGAGAGAGAGAGAGACACATAGAGAGGGAGAGAGAGAGAGAGAGAGTATTCCGTAAGACTGAGAGAGCATATAAAGAGGGGTACATGTATACATATTACTTATTGCTTGTGATATGGTCGAAATATTACTTTTGTTTGCATTTGGAAATGTTTTTTCCCCATTTCATCCATCACAATAACAGTAACTACACCGAGTTCAGTGTATCCCCTGCTCATAAAAATAATAACGGTATTCTGACGGTTAGCAATGTTTTACTGGAATGTTTATATTCATATTTATTTGACATTCTTCCTCACATTAAACAGCAGAATATGTATTCAGAACAGCAGTAACATTTAATGAAGCATCGCATTAACATTTACTGCATATTTCCCCTGTGAGCCTGCCAGAATAGACCAGCTACAAGAACAATAGCGGCGTCTCTCTCTGCCCCCATTAACGTGGCACACCTTGTTTTACAGGGTTTCAAATCAAAATTAACATGTCCTGTGACCATTGACCTCATTGTAACCCCAACCCTTGTAATGACCCTGTGATTCGTGCAGCGAATGCTGGGAGAGTTACGCTCGGCGTTTGTAGGGGAGGTTACACACCTCCAGTAAGGGAGACATGGTTGGGGAAGAGTGGTCAGGGGGTCGGTCAAGCGTGGGTCGTTTGGGGACAGACTGGATCTAATACAGAGATTTATGTATGTTATTGTAACAGATGCCAATTGTGGTAAATAATAGGTTTGGACAGACACGTGGTCGAGTTTTACAGGCACTGCAAACGTATGCTGCCCTACGAGGGAGTGTTTTCACAGGGTTTCTGAAAATAACATGTCCCAAAACATCAGGTGACGAAACATCAAACATGTATTTATCCATGAAATACAAGACTGCAATCATTTGTCCAGCATTAGCAAGTTGACCTGATGATTGATCTCACGTGTCTCTAATTTTCATGCACCCCACAGCATGATCCTTATACCCCTTCCCCACCAAACAGTAAATGCCTACAAAATAGAAACACGATTTTCATGAACACCAATTCCCCTGTCTAAAAGAATCGTCCCTTAATGATGATCAATTGTTTGTATTTGAAAGAAGTAAGTGCAAGACTCAGCGACTTCATGCGTGGAACTCGTTTACCGTTGACAAGCATGATCTAAATTGACGAGACCCGGGAAGATCCGGGGAGAATAGGTCTTCATGCTTGCCACAAAGGCGACTATGCTTGTCGTAAGAGGCTACTAACGGGATCGGGTGGTCAGGCTCGCTGACTTGGTTGACACATGTCATCGGTTCCCAGATCGATGCTCATGCTGTTGATCACTGGATTGTCTGGTCCAGACTCGATTAGTTACAGACGATGGAATATTGCTGAGTGTGTGGCGTAAAACTAAACTCACTCACTCACTCACATGTTGTGGATATAATTTTTACTGGTGTTTGCTTGTTTGTCATTTAACGCCGCACTCAGTAATATTCCATTTATGACGGCTATATATCTGAAAGTAATCGAGGCTGAACTCGGCAATGCCGTGATTGATATCATGAGCATCGAACAATGCACGTGTGTGATACGATGACATGGGTCAACCAAGCCAGCGAGTCTGACCACCCCATCCCTTAACGACAGGCATAGGTTACTGAAGACCAATTCTAGCCCGGATCTTCACAGATCTATTTACAGGTGTACTAGATCCTTGAAACAAAATACACTAACAGGGATCTATACACTTGTATACCCTCGTGGTAGAAGTTGTGGAATTGTAATAGCAAACGGACAAACCACTATAAAATTGTCAGATGTCTTGAGGACAGAGGACTCTTCAAACTCTCCAAGTTGACGTCATCCGTCAGTGTCACCATTAGGCGGTGATAATGCAATCTGACCACGCAGATCAGTTCCCGGTGTTGCGTCACAGACATTCCCCTTGCAATCAGTCACTTCCTTGACGAGCTCCTGCTCCAGGCGAGGATTTGTCCAATCATTGAATAAGCCGGCGGTGTAGTAGCATTGTGTCAGAGAACATGATGTGGCTTTGTCTCCACAGAACAGAAGTATCATGATACCTAGTCTGTCTCACAGTTCCCGAACCACATTAATTTCCCTACTGCCAAGCCATCTCTGCAGTGCTAAAGCCCTAAATAAAGCAAGTTTAGATTTCCTCAGGTTCAGGTTCCTCTGAATCTCTGGTCTCCCTAGTGCTCCTTTTCAATATAAATGGGCTTGTTTGTTACTATCCAAATTATGTATATTCAGAGACTAAGCCTTAGTCTACCTGATACCCTACATTTGTAGTTCCATTGTATGGAAGTGTTATAAGTTGGGAAGAGAGCACGCTCTACCTCAGTATTAGTGAAGGATTAGTCTGACTTATCATATATTTGTGATTAAATTAAAATTCAAACCATGCGGGCAATAATTCAAACCATGTTGTAACGTGTAACATATGTTATGTTGGGATTGCACTTTTCAGTACAGTACCGATTCTAGTACTTTTGTTAGGTTTTGCGTTGGCTGAGTGGGTTAGATCGCTGACTTTGTGTGTTGACGATTAGGTACCTGACTTCAAGACTCAACCTAACAAAACTACTAGAATCTGTACCTTACTGAGAAAGTGTAGTCCGAAATATAACATTTGTTACACTTGATCATTTCCGAAATGACATTGTGTATTCATATTGTAACTGGATAATATATATGTATAGCAAGTAAAATTGTTGCCAAAGAACAATATATGTACAATCACTTGTAAGTATTAAATCACACTACTACGTCACACTTGGCGAATGACCAACACAATATAACATTAAACATTCCGGCTCTCGTCCCTGACCAAGATGAAGCTAACATTCTTAAGACCTTGAGGACTGACAGTATATCTTCTACATGCATGATAGCCAACAGGACTGATTCCATCCATCTTCACCTGCTGGGGGATTGTTTGATATTTTAAACATTGGCTAGCATTAACAAGCATCCTGCAAATACAACCTTTCCAGGAATACAGTCTATTGAATGAAGTGAACTAAGACACCCAGTAAATATAAGCTAGGAATGCATGCCTAAATATTTGCCCAAAAAATTGAAATACCTTTTCACAACCTTAATTCTTAATTTAATCTTTACTATATTGATACATAACAAACATAAAAACCAAATGTTGCATGAAAACTGTGTTTGATTCACAGACACGTTTCATGGAGTTATCCTGATCTAAAGATGCTTAATGACCCCCAAAAGGTTAATTATCGCACATTGTCCAAACCAACACTTGAATGACGTCATAGCATGTGCATCCCATACTGGCCATGACGACCTGGTAGAGACCATGACGACCTGGTAGAGGCCATGACGACCTGGTAGAGACCATGACGACCTGGTAGAGGCCATGACGACCTGGTAGAGACCATGACGACCTGGTAGAGGCCATGACGACCTGGTAGAGGCCATGACGACCTGGTAGAGGCCATGACGACCTGGTAGAGGCCATGACGACCTGATAGAATGGCGACCATGAGGCCATGGCGACCTGGTAGGGGCCATGAGGTTTCTACGGCAACTAAATGAGACGTATAAAGCATGGACAGACATCATTCCTAAGTATCACAGAAATATTGGTCCGACAACTCCGACAGTGGATACATGGCCATATTACCAGAACATCAATCTCAACTGCGAAAATAAAAATTCTCACTACTCTCGCACACGTGCTCTGTACAGTCTCCGCTGTAGTACCCACCGTCCTGGTATAGTGGATGGAGCGCCAGCCCGAAGAGCTGAAGGGTTTCGAGGTCCCAGGTCGCGTCATACCAAAACACGTTAGAAGATGGTACTTCCTGTTTCCCTGTCTGTCGCTCGGCATTATGGGTAAACCAAATATTGCCGGCTTGGAGTCAGTATGCTGTGTTTGAGTGGGGTATCTATGAGATTGTTAAAACTGGTTAAAACGGGCACTGTGTAAACAATAAAACTGTGTAAATAATCCGGTCAAGTAAAAAACACCCACGCGTTCATGCAGGGGCGGTGCGGTAGCCTAGTGGTTAAAGCGTTCGCTCGTCACGCCGAAGACCCGGGTTCCATTCCCCACATGTGCACAACGTGTGAAGCCCATTTCTGGGATTACCCGCCGTGATATTGCTTGAATATTGCTAAAAGCAGCGTAAAACTAAACTCACTCACGCATGCACACCCTTATATAAATGCAATAATACGACGTTCAACGCCATTTCATCTCACCTTGCCTCCGTCATTATGAAGGTAAATCACTTAACAAATCTGTATAAGCCCATGGTCCTGTAGTAAGACATGGCCTGTCGGAAGGATGATGTATGTTTTAATGTGATGGATCCACATCACCGACGGCAATGATGTTACCGATTAACACGCTGGCGTTCAACCACCGCCATTACTGTCAGACAACAGCAATATATGCATCATCACAACACAGAGATATCAGATAGTGGAGTCTTATGGCAAACAACCCGATGTGCTGTTCCTCTGAAACCCAGAAGAGGGGCATGGTGCTGATATTGTGATGTTTTGATGGGATGGCATAGTTCAGTTACGTCATG